CGGAGTAGGGCAACGCTCTCCTACACTAACACGGCATTGTGGACACTTTAACAATATTCGCACTGTCATTTACCACTGCGGTTGGCGCTGTCACTGCGGCAGTTATGTGCGATAGGTATCGGTGGAGAAGGGGAGATGCAAAGATAAGCGTAGAGGAAGTGGAGGCACGGTAAGGAAAGGCACAATGGCCAATGAGCAACACATCAGTAGGAAATGAAAGGGTCAGTTAAGACGGGAGTGTGAGGGAAAGGGGAAGGCAGGAAATGGCTCCTCAATTGGACGAAAAGACGCTGATCTGTCGTTGCTGCCGCACAGTGGGTGTAAGTCATGCGAAGTCTGCGATACCGCGAAACTACCAACGACGCCGTAGTGGCAGACCACTCAACGCACAAGCCTCCACTAATGCGCACTACCACATTCACCATGTTAAGAACTTTCACAGGAGACGGGATGCGTGAACACGAATAACGCAAAACACCCACCCACCCGCATCAACACGACCAACCAACTGCCCTCCCACCACGAACAACAACAACAAGTCAAGACATCATTGCTTAAACAAGGAGGTCATTTAATGTTTGCAAAGAGTGGTACAAATTCACGCACACACAGCGTACAAGTGAAGGTACATTTCCTCCACCTCACAAACGTCATCCTGCATCGCCACGACCGCCGCCACGTCCAAAACCCTCCCACTGCGCGACATAACTCCACTCCTCAAACCCGCCCAAGCATTCATCTTTCCAACTAGGAGAAGAACAAACACAAACATCACTAGCAACGCATAGAGTAACGGCATCCAGGCATAAACAAGCATTGACAAATTCGCACGATACAATGAAAAAAAAACAAAAAAAAACAAGTAGCCAGTTGTAACTCGCATGTGAAGCAATCCCCAACATGAGCGGCAAAAGAACGCAAAGGTGAGAAACGCCAACGAAATTAAGCGACGGGAAGAGATGCGCAGACGGGAGTCGTGAGGACATGTCGCAGACCACTGCAAGTCACGACGCAGGCCAAGTAAACCACACAACACCTCCACCCCACCTCTCCGAACGCCATCAAGTCATTTCACAACTCAAAGACCCACTGCGCATCAAAGAAAATGTACAAACACCTTAGAGGACTGCCGCCCACGCCATATTCCTCCAAACAACAACAACTGAACACATTACAGGTAAAAACACTCAACACAGAAACCATCCCACAAGCATGCAAATCACCCAAGAGCGACTCACTTCAAGAGACAACGCTCCGGCCAAAAAACACCCACCTGCGCGTAGCACCAAGCCACGACATTAGCCCTGCCCAATGAAGCACAAACACCTACGCCAAACACATACACCTACCACAGGAGATGAGAACAACACAAATCCACCCACTGCAACAAACCTTCACCGGGCCGAAAACCCGAATAAGTATCACGCAAAAAAAACCGACAGGCATCCTCCCCTCCACTATTACCACCTTTCCTGCCCATGAAGCACCTACCGTTATTTCCAATGTCCACACCCTATTCCACAGACCAAAGCACTCACGCAGACAAACGATAATAACTTTTCACAACTATAAACGACTCAGCATGTGACAACCAACAATTCAAACCAACATCAAAGCACCCCCACCACGAAGAGGAAACAAAGTGCAATTGAAACGTGAAACCAAAGTCACCTGCACACTGACTGTGCAGACTCACTCATCAACCAACCCAAACAAACACGTGCCAACTATGTCGTGCAATGGAAGTCGATAATTCCTCCGCCAAAATAGGTCCGCTTACGTACAATCCATCGTGCCATCCATACCCAACAACCCTTGCTCCCACCACACTCGCAGACCATCCTCACCCAAAACTATTCACCACTTCACAGGCCATTGAAAAACACAGGATCTACTCTATAAAACCACCACTCTTTCCTCCACTTTAACAAAAAACATGTAGTAGCTCACGTTAAGTGGCCCACAATGAGGGAGGTAGAAAAGGCTCAAAGTGACCAACGATAGCGTCATTAAACGACGAGGAACCCACAGGCCTCACAACTAATACAAGTCTCCCGTCACCCACACGAGCATCACCATTGCAATAGGCGACACCACAACAAATCGAAGACACACACACATTCCCACCACAAATCGCATGCACGCACAATAGGGGAGATTTGCCCAACTGCTTCCGCACAAGTTAGCCCAACGCTCAAACAGACCTTAGTCTATCCGACACCACCAACAGGTGTCACCAGAAGATACCAACAAACATGCTGACAAATATCGGACACCTTCGCACGACTATAGTGCGGTCGCGTCGAGATACAGTACCTCAGACGAAAACAGCACATACACCTACACAAAATACATAAGCGTTAGCCCACCGGTTGCAGAAAACC